CCATATAACACAGCATGACAGATAAAGTAGCATGTATCTTTAATAAATAGATATTTCAAGATAAGCGAAAAACAATCAGTTCTTTGTTCACTAGAAAATAATTATTTGAAACGAAACAATATTCAAATGTAAACGTAACACTGACCTAACCCAAGCTTCTTACTGAATTTGATTATGTCATAGTGCTGTGATCATCGTACGTATCTAATTAAAATTATCTATTTCTACTATTTGAGGATTACGTTGAATCGGTTCATTCACTTCTAAAGGTTCGCGAAACACTGTTATCATTTTTTCAGATAATAAGGAAAAAATTATTGATCATTATTGATATTAGAAGAATAAATGATTATGAAAAAATGGGACCGTCAATATATAAGATCGAACGTTTATTTGTAAACGTCTACTTATAGAATTATTCTTCGGCATATCATAATTCATAAATTGTAAACTGAGCGTAGGATGTGACAACCTAGGAGACATACAATATGAACTTCGAGGAACGTAGAATTTCAATGTTAGTTCGTAATTCATTTCTGAACGTTATCACGAACTGATAACGGCCATATTTCATTTCCACGTAGTATTGACTCACCGTAGTTTTTGAACTTGTCGAACGGTATTAGTTCAATTTTAAAAACTTTCGACTTCAAGTAGTTAATCGATACTTCGATATCTGTAGTTATTACGAGTATTATCATTTATCAGAAATAAAATTAAATATATTTTATTAACGATGTTTGTAGGAGTTTTTAAAATAAATGTAGGAAAGGCTCGAAGTGAAGACACATTTATGTCAACCTTCATCCGTACTTTTATAGAAATTTGACAAGTTTTCGAATGCCGTCTCTCGTGGATGACGTAAACGTAAACACGCGTACACTGTACATATTGTACTTTCGCTTGAATTCCTTTTCTGTTAGTAATTCGATAAGCGGGTCCGACCACCGAAAAATCTTAATCGTGAGATCGGTGGCTGTTATCGCTCGATATTAATTAAGAGAATCGTAGTTTTTCTTGGGCTTTACGATATAGAAATATCTGCTTACGTATGGCAAGCATTCTAGGACACGAGTGAGTGACGTCATGCATATGCCTCGTACGTGCTGATTATTCTTCTTTCGATCCGTGATATATCGCATTCCATGTAACGTTCCAAAATTCAAATCTTTAATATCGTAATTGATTTAACTAGCCAGGGAAGTCTCAAACGACACACTCAAAGCTTTTGACGTTCACTCTGATGCATCAATTAATTTGATAAATTTGAGTGAATTATCAGTGCTTTGATTGTACGGTGAAGAAAATTTAATTACTTCATTTTAAAGGGGTTTAATTAACTTTTGTAGTCGCTATATCGAAAGACATAATTTGATAACATATACTGATGATAAGTAAAGCACGATATTTGAAATTATGCGATTGTATCACCTGAAAGATTCGTAATCATAATCGGTTTGTAACGAGTGAATAACACGAACTTAAAAGCGAATATGGAATAAAAATTGTCGAGAACCGTCAGATTTCCATTGCTGTAGAATTTAAGGGAGGAGCGGTGAAAAGAGAAAGAGAGCACTATCAGGGAGGAGTCCTTATAAGGACGAGTGTCCTTAACCCGCTTCCTCGCGGTACCGTAAACGTTGTCCCGATGTAATACGCTGGTAACGAGTAGAAGAGGAAAAGAGAAAGATAGCCAGTTTCGCTGGAGACTTCAGAGCCTTTTATAGTCAAGACGGAGTTTCGGTCTTCTTAGGAAAGAAACCGAACTCTGTCGAAACCGCACAGATTCCGGGATAGACTTGACTGTACACGTTGCTTCGTCATATACCCTTCTTCTCTTTTCCTCCTTCTGCGTTTCCTTTTTTATCTTCCTTGCCTTATCTTCCTTCGATTCTTGCACACTCCCCTTCCTTTTTATCCGAATATGACTCAAATAATACAAGCAACGAGATGTACTTACGTATCCACCAATTCTAAAATAGATGCACTTTACTCCTACAAAATGTCTGATAGTCGTCTGTTTAAATTGAATAAATTGTCAGACACATGATTGAAGCAACAAAATTTTGAAAATTTCCTACGAATATTACGGTTACAGGACTTAGTATAAAGAGTGCGTGACTCTGATCTTAATGCTACGATCTCAACGAGCACGTTCGAAGAAAGTATTACGTATTGTTAATCAGGAGTTTTACGAAATAGAAAGTACATGTTTCTTTAATGAATGGGTTTGCCGGCAAAAGACTTGTAATCATGGAAGAATACTACTCGTAAGTTTTCGTTATTGGGGCATTCTGTATAATAGCGTCGTGTCGTGATTGTGATGCGTGTACCTAAAAGCCGTAATAAATTGTAAACGACGCATTTGATGTGCTTCACTGGCCGAGACTCTTACACGCAAACTAACCGATGGACAATAACTCCAAAATCGGGTACTTATCAATTGTTTAACTTTGAAGCGTCTAACTTTTTCCATTTATATGGCTGGAGTCGAAATTGTTTAGTTAAGATTGAAACATGACTAACATATGGTTACAAACGTACATGATCATACGATTGATATTATGTACAAATTTTTTAATGAATGCATATCGAAATAATATGATCTCGGCTTGTCACGATATAGTGTGCACGCTCTGCAAATTAGGTGTTTGACTTTTTATGTGAAACGAAGTGAAGAAAGAGATGCAATTTTCCTTTATAGGGAGTTAGAGTCAGTGGTTGTTAGTCAGCTATAACCAGGAATGTTAGGCAGGTCGACGACACGACACTCTCGGAGACCGGTTTCGGAGACCTTCGAGGAGAGAGTTCTGTTTAAAAAAAAAGGGAACAAAATAGCCGTGAATCCCTACTTTGCATTGAGACTTTGTCCGACCTCGGTTAGGTTCATTTGTCTTTAAAGGAAAAGAGAATGTGTTTCAGTTCAATTGTATTTATTATTTTAACTCAAATGAACAGATATAGGTGAATCTTTGATTTTTGAACAGTTTAAAAAACAAGGAACAGAGTCGATCGGAGTTCAAGTTGGCTCATGCATGAATATTATAAACTATGATTTGAAATATGACTCAGGTTGCATAACAATAACATTGTCTGTATCGATTATTAGGTCATCGTTTCATTATTCTAGCGAGTGAATCGCAACCTACCAGTATTCTCTTATCAAACGCTACTGATACAGAGCAAAGTTATTTAAACCCTTATCGAGCAACTACCGGGACTACTGGTATCATAGAACGGGTTGTTGCAACATTTTCGTTAAAGTTCTTCCATGCTTTTTCTTTGTGAACGTTTCCTTCATCAAAATATTATTAAAGTTCACCGAAAAAAGCTACACGGAATTTATGATTTTACGAGACCTGGTTACGAAAGTCCCTTTGATTATTTGCTACTTGACATTTTTTCGTGGTTACACACCACCGTGAACTTGTGTAAGCCGATCCGCTTGCTCATCTTTCCCGAACGATGACGCATACCTTTGGGTTTTTCGTACCGTTTAACTCGTAAATTATTCATTTATAATGAGAAAAGAAAGCTATTACCAACGAGAATATAATCACCGATTCGCAGAAAGTTCCTATTAAGTAGAAGTGCAAATGCAACCGGGTATTCTATGCACGTATAATATGCAGTTTGTCTAAGACGTGATTTTCAAATAAAAAAATAAGTCGATCCTCTGTTCGTATTTATCTGCTTGTATAGTGTGGTCGTTTATCAATTTATGGGGTTATTGATGGTTAAAGTGCAACACGTGCGTAGCAAATCACTTCAAGTGTATAAGGCTACGTAATTTCTATAAGTGCTTCGTACATGAATTACACGCAGAGTAATTGAACATCGGAGTTGTCCAGAGAAAAGCCCAACGTTAACGTTTTTTTATCAAGATTAAAATACAGAAACATAGAATGGTTTTTAGAATCATTTTGAATTTGTATTTATTGAGAGAGGAATTTTATTCAGCACAGGCAAATAATGGAAAATTCATGCTATTTATTGCCTAATTATTATTATATGTTTTTATACTACTGTCGATAATATTAGAATCTATTAATTAACTCGGTACATACGGCTTGCAGTTAATTGCCAATCAAATTCCAAATAAACTTCGACTTGATACTGTTCTCGTTAAACTAGTCACACTAAAGGTCGCGTTACAAACGACTCGTGAAGAGATTCCTTAGTCTGATAACGTAATAGGAAATGCTAGTTAACGGTACATTTCATTTGCAAATATTGATTTATCACTTGGAAATTTTTAGAATTCCACGAATTATTCAATTACTTGATTGCATTTTGCATTTACCATTGTCTGTTGATTTCGTCTGTGAGATATCCCATTGGAATAGCAGCGCGATTACTCGTCGTGTACGAGAGAAAAAAAATCGTCGCCATTGAGAAACCTTTTTTTTGTCGATTTGTTCAGACCACTCATCGTTTTGTTGTATGATTGCAGACATACTCGGGGTTGTTCTGCGTAGTGGTAAATCCATACAAGAGGCTGCCAATTTACACGGAGAAGATAATGGAGAGATATAAGGGTATTAAGAGACACGAGGTTCCACCCCATGTTTTCGCCATTACGGACACCGCATATCGTTCTATGCTTCAAGGTAATTAATTCTATTTTCCCGTTAATTTACCCAGTCATTAAGAACTATGCAGATATAAGTTATCCGTATTTCGCTTACTCCTAGTATTCTTTGCTGATTAGTTTTTCATTTTACAATAGCATTATTTCTGAATTTTATTTCGAAATCAAATTTTGCATAAAGTGATGGTCGTGTATCTTATTTTATGAAAGAGATCTTTGAAATATTTAATTTTGTTGTGTCTGATTTATTTTTACAGATCGTGAGGACCAGTCTATTTTGTGCACTGGTGAATCCGGCGCTGGTAAAACTGAAAACACGAAGAAAGTGATACAGTACCTGGCGTATGTCGCAGCCTCGAAGCCAAAGTCGAATGCGGTAAGTCAATAAATGAATATCTCGATCTTCGTCGAGATGCGATTTATTAAACATAGTACACCATTAGTAATACTAAAGTCAGACGAAATACAAATGATGATATATAAGTTCGTGACAAATATTTGCGTTGCTCGAATCCATAATTTCGATTTAAGCAGCAAGGACATACAGGACTTTGTCTGCGCCTCCTATATTCTGTTATTTAATGGATATTACAATACATGTAAAGGAAACTCAGAGATATTACTGGTTTCAGAAATATAATTAAGACAAGGATCTTGTAAATTTTATCCGGTGCATGAAAATTTCTGTAAATACTCTCTCTTCTCTTCTTTCGTGCATGACGCTTCGTAAATTTTATACGAGTGTAAACATAATTAGAAGATATCGACGTCAATTAGAATTGTATAATACAAATGAAATTGAGCACTTACATTAACTCAATTTTTTAAAATATCTCACTGAGAAAGAGATCGCACATTATACGTAGATTCAATTTAGATCTTCGAAATATCGATGTTACACAAAAGAGTATCTCGTTTGAGAGAGAAGCGTTAAGGTAGGCAAAGAAATATGATTTTCTGCGCTTAATCATAATCTTGGAACGTGCGCACAAAGGAACACATGCGCTTTCATGAAATATGATACAGTGTAATGAACGATAACGAAAGACGGAAATTCGACCTCAGTTTCCGCGGTTAGATAAAATTTAAGCACGAACAGGATGATAAAACAGCATGCGAAGTTAAATTTCACATCTAGTCAGAGTTATTTTTACAAAATACATTTATTCTCAGTCGAATGGAATTATTCGCTAGTTATTTGATTATGAGTAATTGAATTTGAACGATACTTGATTATTATACAAATAAATTGAGAAAGAGAAATGAAACAAAGTAACCGTACACACTGACCATCGATTGTGTAAGTGTTGCGTGAATTGTTTACGAAGCCGGTCGTCGAATACTGGACGACTGTTTTGCGATCCGCGATAGATCACGGTAGGCCATCGTAGATCACTGGCTCTCGAAGGATCTTTCCTTTTTCAGTGGAACGATCCACTTATCGGCCTAACTCGTCTTTGAGTCATTCTCGTCGGTCTGTTCTGAGTCACCGTATGCCACGAAACTCCGTGCTCTTATATAGGAAAAAATTACCGTCGCGTCGCTCCCTTTTTATGCGTTTCATAATTCGAGATTTACAAACCACGTGAATCGCTTAAACTTCGAAAGCGCCGCAACTGGTTTCATATCCGAATGCTTAATCGTGAAATGAAACTTGTTTATGTAACATAAATAATTCCGAAGATTATGCATTTATGCCAATAATGTGTCTGTTTCGTCAGATACGTTAAATCGATTTACAATTCCAATCAAATTCCAATCAATAATGATATTCTAATTGCCAATTGAATTGGAGTTGATCCAACACCTGTTAAATTTAAAAAAAAACGAAAGGTACTGTCTCTGAAGGGTCGCCTATGAAAGGAACGTAATGAAAACTGGATTCATTAGCGAAGGCTCGTGAATTTAATTTTGTAAATTCTCTCATTCCCGGTGCTGACTTTCGGCGGCCACGACACACCTAGACACCAAGTCCGGCGTTAATCATAGTAAGTCAACAACAAAATGATCAACATTCCGCTCACACGATTATACGCTGCTATCTGCTGTCCTTATGTTTTTCCTCCTCTCCCCATTTTTTTCGCTTTCCGTTCTGTTATCTCTTTTTAAGCTTCGTTCACTAACTACACGTGTTGCCATGGTGTTGGAACTTCCGTGTACCATATGCACGTAAAAGTACACTCTATGTGCAATTGTGTTTGGTTTCATTAATCATATTTAAATTAACCGTACTCAATTTTATCAGTTTTAACAAATAACTAATTTAGCTAGCTTTTTTATCTTGCCCTTTTTCTCTTGATTTTTATTTATCGTCCTGAAGCAAGGGAATTAATTTAATTCTATCGTGTACATAACAGTTTGTAAAGGAAGTTGAAATCCTAAATCGCATTCTTTTTATTTCTTTACGCTGCTCACTGGATTCAGGGTTCCGGAAATGTTTCGGATAAATTTGCGGTAATTAACGTGAGAGTCGACTAATTGAATTATTTATTAATGTACTCTGTGTCGTGTCTGTGTATGTACGTTAACCCATCTGCAAAAAAAGATTGAATAATACACTCTTATCATCTATTTTTTTTATACGCGCTAATAATGCAAATGGGTTAGTGCGTTGTTCGCTTCTTGTACATTTATTTTATTACGTGCTTCATTGTTTTAACTTTTAGGTATAAATTTTCTTTATAATAATGAATAACATTCGTTTATTAACTTAATTAGGTACGATGGAAAATTAATCAATAACGTACGAACATATAGATAACTGATTGCGATAATCTTCTTCGAAAAGTATTTTTATAATTGATTGCATTTCGTTTACATCGTTACTCACATTTGCTCATTTTGCAAATTTACTTTGGAAGTATCATAAACAAATTTCCTGTTTTATTATAAATTTATTTTAACCAAAATATATGTTGTACTCAATAACATCCAATAAAGAAAAATTAAACAATGATTCTTATTCTTATCAAGTTGTTCAATTTTTTTGATGATAGGGTGAATTGGAGCAACAGCTCTTACAGGCAAATCCGATACTGGAAGCTTTTGGGAATGCCAAAACAGTGAAAAACGATAATTCTTCTAGATTTGTAAGTTCGTAAAAACTTGTTAAATAAGAATTTGCTTCGGCGATAATGATAATAATCCGCTTAATCGTCGAACAGGGTAAATTCATTCGAATAAACTTCGATGCATCCGGTTACATTGCTGGCGCAAATATAGAAACTTATCTTTTGGAAAAGTCCAGAGCCATTCGACAAGCAAAAGATGAAAGAACGTTCCATATATTTTACCAGCTTCTAGCCGGTGCCTCGCCTGAACAAAAGAGTGAGTAATTTTATTTATATTGTATAATATTTTTAATATTTTTCCGAGTAGTTATATAATCTGTTTGCTACTTTTATTTGTCGATAAATAAATGATAAAATTGTAGTTAGTTTTTCTACCCGTATTGAAACCCGTAGAACTTGTGTACTCACATAATAAAATATTATTGACTCATGCTCATGACCAAGCCCAAGCCCAGATAGTGCACGCTTTTTATTACTATTCGAGACGGGAAAGTGAATCGATATTCCTGCTTCGAGACACCGAACGTTTCCGTCTATTATGCTTACTTGCTTGTCAGGGATATTTTGATCCATACTCGAATCACTATTCTCGGATTAAGATTATCCTTTCGGGATACGAACGATTTAAAACAACCTTCTTCATAGATGACTCACAGCCACGCTACCTGACCTGAAGCTCAATTACTGACGCGGTGAATGTTAGCCAACTGATCATTTTGGGCATCGTTCAGTAAAAACTGTGTCGTTACTATCAAATACGGGCTGAAACCTATTTTTCCAAATTTGCAAGATTCAAATTCTCCAAAAAAAATTTTTAAAGGATTAATTTCTTAGAAAAATCTCGAGAAATTTATTCAATTATTATTTCATATAACTGACGTAACAGGTTTGTAATAGAAATATGTGCGATTAACAATATTTCAGAGGAATTTATCTTGGAGGATCCGAAACACTATCCATTCCTGTCCAATGGCGCATTACCAGTTCCGGGAGTGGACGATTCAGCCGAGTTCTTCTCGACCGTAAAGTCCATGCATATCATGGGCATGACAAATGAAGATTTTTCATCGATCTTCCGCATCGTGTCTGCGGTGATGCTTTTCGGTTCTATGCAGTTCCGTCAAGAAAGAAATTCGGATCAAGCCACGTTACCGGACAATACCGTCGCCCAAAAAATTTCTCATTTACTGGGCCTGAGCGTGACGGAAATGACGAAAGCGTTCTTGAAACCAAGGATTAAAGTCGGTAGAGATTTCGTGACGAAAGCACAAACGAAGGAGCAAGTTGAATTCGCGGTGGAAGCGATCTCGAAAGCTTGCTACGAGAGAATGTTCAGATGGCTCGTGAACAGAATCAACAGATCGCTGGATCGAACGAAGAGACAAGGAGCGAGTTTTATCGGTATTTTGGATATGGCTGGTTTCGAGATATTTGAACTGAACAGCTTTGAGCAACTTTGTATTAATTACACGAACGAGAAGCTACAGCAATTGTTCAATCACACCATGTTCATTTTGGAGCAAGAGGAATATCAGAGGGAAGGGATCGAGTGGAAATTTATCGATTTTGGATTAGATTTACAACCGACTATCGATTTGATTGACAAACCGATGGGCATCATGGCGTTATTGGACGAGGAGTGTTGGTTCCCTAAAGCGACGGACAAAACGTTCGTCGAAAAATTAGTCGGTGCTCACAGCGTACATCCGAAATTCATGAAGACGGACTTCAGAGGTGTCGCAGACTTTGCTATAATTCATTACGCCGGAAAGGTTGATTATTCAGCTGCTAAATGGTTGATGAAGAACATGGACCCGTTGAACGAAAACGTGGTCAGCCTTCTGCAAAATTCGCAAGATCCTTTCGTTTGTCACATTTGGAAGGACGCGGAAATTGTTGGAATGGCTCAACAAGCGTTGACCGATACACAGTTTGGTGCGAGAACCAGAAAAGGCATGTTCAGAACGGTTTCTCAGCTGTACAAGGAACAGTTGGCAAAACTAATGGTAACGCTGAGAAACACTAATCCGAATTTCGTAAGATGTATCATACCGAACCATGAGAAGAAAGCTGGAAAGATCGATGCACCGTTGGTGTTGGATCAGCTGAGATGCAACGGAGTGTTGGAAGGAATTCGAATTTGCAGACAAGGATTCCCGAATAGAATACCATTCCAAGAATTCAGGCAGAGGTACGAACTTCTGACGCCAAATGCTATCCCCAAAGGGTTCATGGATGGAAAGAAAGCTTGCGAGAAAATGGTAAGTGTAACATATTCTATTCATGCGTATAACAAAATTTTAATGTTACGAAAGTAGTGAGCATAATTATAAAAATCTCTGTTACAGATTCAAGCTCTTGAACTTGACCCAAATCTTTATCGCGTCGGTCAATCAAAAATTTTCTTCCGTGCCGGAGTCTTGGCACATCTCGAAGAGGAACGCGATTACAAGATTACGGATATAATCGTCAATTTCCAAGCATTCTGTCGTGGTTTCCTCGCTCGTAAGAACTATCAGAAACGGTTACAACAATTGAATGCCATCAGAATCATTCAGCGAAATTGTGCTGCTTATTTGAAACTTCGCAATTGGCAGTGGTGGCGTTTGTATACCAAAGTGAAACCACTGCTAGAGGTAACAAAACAGGAGGAGAAATTAACTCAAAAGGAAGATGAATTGAAACAAGTGCGAGACAAATTAGAAATGCAGTTGCATTCCTCGCAAGAATATGAACGAAAATATCAACAAGCTATGGAGGAGAAAACAATGCTAGCGGAACAATTGCAGGCCGAGGTAGAATTGTGCGCGGAAGCGGAGGAAATGCGAGCAAGATTAGCTGCGAGAAAGCAAGAATTGGAGGAAATTCTTCACGATTTGGAAGCAAGGATCGAGGAAGAAGAAGAAAGGAGCGCTGCCCTGACTCAAGAGAAAAAGAAATTACAATTGAATATAAGCGATCTTGAAGAACAATTAGAAGAAGAGGAAGCTGCCAGACAGAAGTTGCAGTTGGAGAAAGTACAATGCGATGCGAAAATCAAGAAGCTCGAAGAAGATCTTGCACTTTCTGATGACACGAATCAAAAATTGCTGAAGGAAAAGAAGATACTTGAAGAAAGAGCGAACGATCTGTCGCAGACACTTGCCGAGGAAGAAGAGAAAGCGAAGCATTTGTCGAAGTTGAAGGCGAAACATGAAGCCACGATTGCAGATCTTGAAGAGAGGCTGTTGAAGGATCATCAGCAGAGACAGGAGGTGGACAGGTCCAAGAGGAAAATAGAAACTGAGGTGTCAGATTTGAAAGAACAGCTTGCAGAGCGAAAAACACAGGTAGAAGAACTTCAACTGCAACTTGGTAAGCGGGAAGAAGAATTGAATCAAGTAATGGCAAAGATGGACGAGGAAGGAGCAGCGAAAGCCCAAGCGCAGAAGGCTCTTCGTGAATTGGAGTCTCAGCTGGCTGAACTTCAAGAAGATCTCGAAGCTGAAAAGGCTGCCAGAAGCAAAGCAGAGAAGTTAAAGCGCGATCTGAACGAGGAATTGGAAGCGCTGAAGAACGAATTGTTGGATTCTTTGGATTCGACTGCCGCCCAACAGGAATTGAGAAGCAAACGCGAACAGGAATTGGCAACGTTGAAAAAGAATTTGGAAGAAGAAACGTCGATGCATGAAGCGACGCTGGCTGATATGCGACACAAGCACACGCAGGAACTGACAGCTTTGAATGAACAGATGGATGCATTGAAAAAGACTAAAGCCGTTTTAGAGAAGGCAAAGGGAACTTTGGAGGCTGAGAATGCCGACTTGGCTACGGAACTTAGGTCTGTCAGTGCCAGCAGACAAGAATCAGACAGAAGAAGGAAACAAGCTGAACAACAGCTTGCAGAAGTAAACGGGAAACTTGCAGAAGTGGAAAGGTGTAGGCAGGAATTGGCGGAACGTGTGACGAAATTACAACAGGAGGCTGAAAGCGTCATGCAACAATTGGAAACTGCAGAATTAAAAGCTTCTGCAGCCTTAAAAGCTTCAGCGACTTGTGAGTCGCAATTCACCGAACTTCAGCAACAACTCGAAGAAGAAACTAGACAAAAGTTGGCCTTGAGTTCGAAATTAAGAGCGTTGGAAAGTGAGAAAGAAAGTCTGCATGATCAGTTAGAAGAAGAAGAGGAAGCAAAGAGAGCCTTGGATAAACAGGTACAATTGCTACTCTGCGATACTTTATCAGTTAATAATTTGATAACTGGACACATTTAAAAATCCTTTTTGTTTTCTAAAACTTGTTCACAGGTCTTGGCCTTAAATATACAATTGGCAGAAGCAAAGAAGAGGGCCGAGGAAGAAGCTGAAGCCGCTACTGCGTTAGAAGAAGCGAGGAAGAGGTGTATGAAGGACATTGAAGCACTTCAAAGACAAGTCGAAGAACTTCAAGCTGCTAATGATAAACTAGATAAATCAAAGAAGAAAGTGCAAGCAGAATTAGAAGATAGTACTATTGAGCTCGAGGCGCAAAGAGCAAAGGTGCTGGAATTGGAGAAGAAGCAGAAAATTTTCGATAAGGTAAGCTTTCGTCATCGGGATTGTAAAATGCAGTAAACGAAATTTATTTAATTGTTTCAATAGAATAATTATTGTTACTCTATAATTGTTTCAATTTGAGATTAATAGAGTTGTTACTTTTTTTAATTATTAACGATAGTTTGGGGAACTTTCTGTGAGTTTTTCATATAATTATCATTAGTAATTAACAATTTATATTTTTATGTAGAGTAATTTATCAAGTAACCGAATCATTAAAAGTTATCCCTTTTTTTCTATACAATACCCAATATCTTACGGATTAATATGATTTAATGTAGATTACATTTTCATAAGTTTCTAAAGTAATAGTAGAATTAGAGACTCATTTTAAACATTTTATCCATTAATTTAATTGTCATTTTAAGGTGCTGGCTGAAGAAAAAGCAGTCTCTGAACAATATGCAGAGCAACGCGATGCTGCAGAACGTGAGGCTCGCGAGAAGGAGACACGTGTCCTCTCTCTGACACGCGAGCTCGATGAGATGAACGAGAAAGTCGAGGAGCTCGAACGCGTTCGCCGAGGTCTCCAGTCAGAGCTCGACGAACTCGTCAACAATCAAGGCACAGCAGACAAGAACGTACATGAGCTTGAGAAAGCAAAACGTGCGCTCGAGTCCCAATTGTCTGAGCAACGTTCTCAAGTAGAGGAGCTTGAGGACGAGTTGCAGTTCACAGAAGATGCGAAATTGCGTTTAGAAGTAAATATGCAAGCGTTGAGAGCTCAATTCGAACGAGATTTCCAAGCTAAGGAGGAGCAGGCCGAGGAGAAACGAAGGGCGTTAGTGAAGCAATTACGCGACCTCGAAGCTGAGTTGGAAGACGAGAGGAAACAGAGAGCTGCGGCTATCGCGCAGCGTAAGAAGATGGAGGCAGATTACAAGGATATCGAGCAGCAACTTGAAATGCACAACAAAGTGAAGGAAGATGCCCTGAAACAGCTGAAGAAACTTCAAGCCCAAATAAAAGATTGCACCAGGGAAACCGAGGAAGCCAGGGCTGCCAGAGACGAGCTTGCAGCGAGTGCTAAAGAGACTGAAAGAAAGGTGAAGAGTTTAGAAGCGGATTTGATGCAGTTAACAGAAGATTATGCCAGTAGCGAACGAGCTAGAAGAGCTGCGGAGAATGAAAGAGACGAATTACAAGAAGAACTCAATAATAATGCCAATAAGGGTACATTAATGTTGGATGAGAAGCGTAGATTGGAAGCTAGAATAGCAACGTTAGAAGAAGAGTTGGAGGAAGAACAATCGAATGGTGAATTAGTCATGGATAAGGCCAGAAAAGCTCAAATAACCATTGAGCAGTTGACGAACGACCTGACGACTGAAAGATCGACCACACAGAAATTGGAGTCGCACAAATTGTTGTTAGAAAGACAAAACAAGGAATTGAAAGCAAAACTCACGGAATTGGAAACTGCTCAGAGAGCAAAGACCAAAGCCACCATTCAACAACTGGAATCGAAAATTAACAATCTTGATGAGCAACTGGAAACTGAAGCGAAAGAACGATTCGCACAGCAAAAGATTAACAGGAAATTGGAGAAGAAACTGAAGGAATTAAGTCTACAGTTAGAAGACGAGAGGAGAAACTCGGACCAATACAAGGAGCAAGCGGAGAAAGTAAACGCTAGAATGAAAGCTTTGAAGAGGCAGCTCGATGAAGCTGAGGAAGAAATTAGCAGGCATAAGGCAATGAAGAGGAAAGCGCAAAGAGAAATGGATGATATGCTTGAATCTCAGGAAGAATTAACCAGGGAGGTTGCGAACCTTAAGAATAAGTTAAGGTGAGCTTCACATATTTTTATATTCGAAATCAATTTCCCTCGTTTATTATAAATTCTGCGTAGTTTATTATGAATGCAAAGGAGTATAAATTAGTTTGACGTTAAAATATTATTATAATATTTAAATATTATATAATATAGGCATCGAGGGAAAAAGCATAGTTCGTACCGTACGTGAAAAAAGCAGAATTGTTTCAAGTTTCAAGAATACTACGTAAACCGTGTGGTTAGTTTAAAAATACAATTACTTTGACTGATTAAAATCATGTCATTCGTATATTGACACATATATTCCCATATAACTATTTTTGTTACTTTTTTAATTAATCTGTATATCATACTTCCGATCAATTCATTGGGTCAAAACCATTGATAATGAATTCACAATCATTATCATTATGAAAATTTCTATAAGCTTCTTCGAATAGTAGGATGTCGAAGTTGAAACAATTTAAAATGTTCTAACAGACGAGGTGGGCCTCCAATAAGCCTCAGTTCCACGCGTCTGAAACGCGGTTCCGTTCAAACCGGTGGCTCCGGCGACGATTCAACGACGCAGGACGAGAGCATCGATGGTGAGGAAACTGTCAACTGAGCGAGAAAAACACACACCACTTATTGAACCCTCACAACGCAGGAAACCCATAAAAAAAAAAGAAAAATACCCAAGGTCCACGAGGCGTATACGAGAGATTCGCTTCGACGAAAAATACGAATTCGAATCGGATGAGCTCGTGTCTGCACGAGTCCGGGGAGTTGATTCCTATGCACCCAACCGATGCCATTAGATGAGGGCGACGGCTTTCTTCTGTACATAAGAAACCCGGCAGGGCCGTACCAAGTAGTATTTTACCTCCGTCTTTCCGGAACTCCGTGGAAAATGACGAATTTTCATCCGGAAAACTCGCAATGTGAGCAGTGTTCTTTTCTGCCTATTTATGATATAAGCTATTCGTATATTGTATCTATCAATAAGCATGAAAGATTGTACGATCAAATTTTTATTGGATTTTTTCCAACATGTTTCTTACAAAATAATGTGCGTTAATGCCGACGATGCATTAGCAGTGCTTGAATGCCATATTTTGTATAAGCTTTACAGTAGACGTTCTTTCACTTACGCATTATTATTAATAAACTTTGAAATTTCGTCATTTTTTACGGATAATGCTACTACTTCGTCGGGTAAGATTGAGACTAGAAATATATTATCGGGGCTGCATAATCGATAACGAATTAACACCGCATTTAGGCAGCATTAAT